TGCCGCCGCCACAAGGGCCCGCGAATCTGCCCGCAAGTGCGCGCGGACCTCCGCGCAGCACGCGCGCGGGAGTGGGGGATGGAACTCCTTGAAGCCCTTCAGCAGCAAGTGCCTGTTGGCCGAGCTAGCGGGCCGCTTGAGCTCGACGGAAAGTGCGGTGGCAAGTCCCACCCCTGCTGGACCTCCGCGAACGCCTCGCGCACGTGTGGAAAGCACGCGTAATCAAACTGAGCACGACAATTTGCCTGAACTCTGCTGCGAGGAAGCGCGCAGCATGCGTGCTCCGTCGTATCCCACGTGCCCTGCTCGAACGTGGCCAACCCCATGCCATGCGCCGCGTTGAGCGAGGTGCCCTTGGCGGCATGCACCTCCCAAACAGCACCCTTGCTGCGCTTGGTGGCCTTGCCGTTCTGGCCCCGCTGGTTGCTCGGCGGCGCCGAAGCCCACTTGCCACTGGCGGGAGGCTGACGAAGCTGCCAAGGTTGCCAAGGCTGCTCTGCTCCGCGTGGTGGCCGAGGCCCCGCGCCGCCACGCCCGGGCTCCGTGCGCGTCGTGCGATCGGCCGCCAGGTACTCTCCACGCACGCATGGCCGCTGAGCCGCCATGGTCGAGAAACTCAAAGTTATAAGTGCCGCTAATCGCCAGCGCGATGCCGTCCACGATGTCCAGGTCGTAAGCGGAGAGGTCCTCGCCAACCTTCATGTAGACGTAAACCCATGCACTACCCACAGATGGGCCTGCCACATGCGCGACCGCCGCGCGACCAGGCGTGGGAACCGTCAGCTGCCCAGCCTCGACCCCGCCAAAGCCAGACGACCTCGGCGCCCACTGCAGGAGATCTCCGTGGCCAGCATGCCCAACCGAAATCTCAGTGACTGGCATGGCGATCGCATGCCAGCCCAGCCCAGCCAACTTGATTGAACCTTCGCTGCCGAGCTCCTCGGACAGGTGTGCTTCCTGAGCGAAGGTGAGGTCACACCTGCGAATCCCGTAGTATCCGAGGAGGCCCTCGAACCTGCTGTCCGCGTTCGCGTTGATGGAGAGGGCCGACCACCTACGCCCGCGCACACGGCTATCCAAAAGTCCGTGGCTTCTTCGCATCCCGCAAGGTGCCGAGAGCGTCGCGGATCCGCTTGCGCTGCTCGTCATCATCGCCACAGCCACCAAGGAGCCCGCCAGGATCCTCCTCGCCCAGGAGGTCCTCGAACCCCGCTGCATCCCCAGCTGCTGTAGGGGCTGCTGCTGCTGACGCTGCTGCGGCCGCTCCGCCGCCTGGCTGCCCCACTGGCTGCCCTGCGGCGGGCTCGGCAGGCTCGGCGGCGCCGGCAGCTGCGGCAGCCCCGACGTGCGGGCGAGCTGCCTTCGCTTCCTCGGCGAGCTCGTTGACCATTGCCGAAAGCTGCTGGAGGAGGTCCTCCTGGCCCGAGACACCGTCGGTGTTGAGCGCGCCGGGCTTCTGCAAAATAACCTCGGGGCTGATGCCGCCTCCGTAGAGCGCTGCCGCTTCGCGCTTAGCATCCGCAAGCTCCTGCCGCAGCTGCGAAATGGCCTCGTGCGTCCTTTGCACCTGCACCAGAGCCTTGCGAGCAGCCTCCGATTCCCTCTGAAGCCGAGCTTGGGCGTCCGCAAGCTGGCGGGCAAACCCATCCACCTTCTGCGGCGCGGACTTGCCCACCAAGCCGAGAGCATGAGCACGATGAGCTGCCTCAACTTTGCTGCGAGACTACCGGCTGAGGGTGAGCGTAGCAGCATCCCACGCACCCTGCTCGAAAGCCGCCCAGATCTGGACCTGCTCCGCGGTGAGCATGGTGCCCGTGGCGGCGCCCTTCTCCCAACGTGCGCCTTTGCTGCCCTTGAACACCCTGCCGTTCTGGCCCCACTGGTTACTCGGCGGCGCCGTCGCCCACTTGCCACGGGCAGGGGGCTGACGAAACTGCCAAGGCTGCCCTGCTCCACGCAGCCGAGGCCGCACGCCGCCACACCCAGGCTTCGTGCACCTTGTGCGGTCGGCCGCCAGGTAGTCTCCACAAACGCACTGCCACTGAGCCGCCATGGCCGCGACCAACTCAAGGTTATAAGTGCCAAGAAGAAGGAGAGCCCGCGCGCGAGCCGTCGGGGAGCTGGATCTGGGAACGAAGAGAATTGGCCCAAAGCGCGATACCTCGCGCTCAAGCCGCCCTTTCGGACTCGCGGTCGTCGGGAGTCGCATTGCCTTGAGCCAAAATAGCTACGGAGGACTCGTGCCCCAGGGGAGGCCCAATCGATAGGAACATTTGTAGACCATTTAGGATTGTATACACAGGGGAAAGACAAGTTATAGAAACACACGTATAACATCAACGATTCGTGCTCCAGTTGAGGCCCCATCTATAGGAGCATACGTAAAGCGCATGGGATTGGAGCCACTTCTGTTGCCTTCTGAGGCCTCCTGCTCCTGGGGCCTCTCGGGGCCTCCTATTGCCTTCTGGGGCCTCCTGGAGCTTCCTGGGGCCTCCTGGAGCCTCTTGGGACATCCTGTGGTCTGTCGAATCTTCCTGTGGCCTCCTGATGCCTCCTGGGGCCCCCTGGAGCCTGCTGGAGCCTCCTGTGGCATCCTGGGGAGAAGCTGTGCCCACGAGTCTGGCCACCAAAACAGGCAACCCGACCGAGACATCCTCAAAATCTGGCCCCGCTGGGGGGGGAACATGAGCGCCTCGCTCGAGACATCCTCCACATCTGCTCCGACAACGAAGGATGTTCGCGACCCAAACAGGCAAACCGCATGATACATCCCCGCAATCTGGGCGCGAACGGAGGCCGTGAGATACCCCTGGCGGCACCCCTCTCAGGAGGCGCCTCGCGCGAGACATCCTCAAAGTCTGCTCCGAAAGCGAAGGATGTTCGCGACCAAAACAGGCAACCGCTCGAGACATCCCCGCAATTTTGGCGCGAACGGAGGCCGTGAGATACTCCCTGGCGCCCCCCCTTCAGGAGTGCTAAAACCAGCAAGCCCCTCGAGACATCATCATCATCATCATCATCATCATCATCATCCTCATCCTCCTCCTCATCATCATCATCATCATCATCAGCATCATCATCATCATCCTCATCATCCTCATCATCCTCATCCTCATCCTCATCATCATCATCATCATCATCCTCATCCTCATCCTCATCATCCTCATCACCCTCATCCTCATCCTCATCCTCATCCTCATCCTCATCCGCATCCGCATCCTCATCATCATCATCACCATCATCATCATCATCATCATCATCATCATCATCATCATCATCATCATCATCATCATCATAAGCAGCAGTAGCAGCACCACCATCATCATCATCATCAGCAGCAGCATCATACTCATCCATCATTCACCATCACCATCATACTCACATGATACCCTCACCATACCAGGGTCATTACCATGACACTCAGCATTATCGTCTAGTGCAGAGAGGGAGGGAGGGGAGGGATGATCATGAGGGGTCCGGTGCGGTCAGAGAATTATTCACTGCGTGGAGCCCCCCATATGTGCATAGATTCGCATGGGCCTGTCCGCCGTGAGTGTATAGGCGCAAGTTTTTTCGAATATACGCGGGCTTGAGTTGTGGCGGTCTGGTCATGAATCTAACTGCGAATGAATTGGAGTGTGAATGAGTCTCAGAAGCACGAGCGCGTCTCTGCGCATGAGCCTGGGGCCTCCTGGGGCCTCCTGAAACCTCCTGAGGCTTACTGGGGCCTCAAGGAGCCTATTGAGGCCTCCTCGGGCCTCTTGAGGCTTCGAGTGGCCTCCTGAGGTGGCTTCCTGGGGCCTCCTGGAGCCTCTTGGGACCTCCTAGGGAGGAATCGTGCCCCAGGAGAGGCCCAATCTATAGGAACAGACTTGCACAAACGTTGCGGATCGGATCCGCAGGAGAGGCGCAATCCATAGGAACACACGTGAAACACCAAGGACTCGTGCCCCAAGGGTGGCCCGAAATATAGGAACATACGAACAAACATTTAGGATTGTATACACAGGAGAAGGACGATCTATATAAACATACGTATAACATCAAGAATTCGTTCTACAAGTGAGGCCCAATCTATAGGAGCATACGTAAAGCGCATGGGATTGGAGCCACTTCTGGTGCCTTCTGAGGCCTCCTGCTCCTGGGGCCTCTCGGGGCCTCCTGTTGCCTTCTGGGGCCTCCTAAGGCCTCCTGGAGCTTCCTGGGGCCTCCTGGAGCCTCTTGAGACATCCTGTGGCCTCTTGAGTCTTCCTGTGGCCTCCTGATGCCTCCTGGGACCTCATGTGGCCTCCTGCGGCCTCCTGGAACCTGCTGGAGCCTCCTGTAGCATCCTGGGGAGAATATGTGCCCACGAGTCTGGCCACCAAAACAGGCAACCCGATCGAGACATGCTCAAACTCTGGCCCCCCTGGGCGACGAAACTGAGCGCCTCGCTCGAGACATCCTCCACATCTGCTCCGACAACGAAGGATGTTCGCGACCCAAACAGGCAAACCACCTGAGACATCCCCGCACTCCCTCGGATCTGGCCAGAGGCACCCCTCCTGCAGGGCGACTGGAACGTCGCCCCGTCTCGCCAAACGGCGAACGCAGATGCAACGACGACTGCTACAACCGGGCAGCGCTTCTTTGATGCATGCAGCCTTCCTCTGGCAGACAGCCCAGTGGATCGCAAGCGGTTTCGTCCTGTCCCACCTTCCGTTCTGGATCGCAAGCTGTCTGGTCCCCTATCTTCACTTCTCCTTCCTCCCACTCCGCCGGCTCCCTTCCCCCTCATGCTCCTTCTCTCCCTGCTCCTGCGCACTTCATCGTCCTCCTCCTCCTCCTCCTCCACCTCCTCCTCCACCTCCTCCTCCTCCTCTTCCTCCTCCTCCTCCTCCTCCTCCTCCTCATTCTCATCCGAAGACGATGACGACTCCTTTGGCTCCTGCGACTCCTACAACGACGACCACCATCACGCCGACGGCGAAGAACGCGACGGCGACGACACAGGATGGGGCCTCGAACGGGAATGCCTCCCCTGTGCGGGAGGCGCCCCAGCCGAAGGGCGCGTGGCCAGCGCCGCCGAAGTCGGCGGCGCACGCGTAGCCAGCGGGGTGCGCGGGGTTCACCTCGGCGCTCAAGGATGTCTCCTCCGCCTCCTCCTCCTCTCCTCCTCTCCTCCTCCTCCTCCTCCTCCTCCTTCCTCCTCCTCTCTTGCTCCTCCTCCTCCTCCTCCTCCTCCTCCTCCTCCTCCTCCTCCTCCTCCTCCTTTTACAATTACTCAATATGAATACTACTCTCCCTCTTCCCCCGATGGCGGCCTGAAAGTAGCCGACACCCCCCCCGCGTCCTGCTTTTTTGCACACCAGATTCCCGGGAGTTGGGTTTTGCCTGCATTTTTTTCAAAATGCTGCTCTCGCCGAGGCGCCGGCCTCATTTTCGGGCCCCGCTCGTTCCGAATCGTGCTCCCGCTGCAGCGCTGGCCTCATTTCCGTGCTTCCGCTCGTTCCGAATCGTGCTCCCGCTGCAGCGCTGGCCTCATTTCCGCGCTTCCGCCTGTTTCGACTCGTGCTCCCGCTGCAGCGCTGGCGTCATTTCCCGTGCCATGCCACAGCACACGCGCACACACGCACACACACACACACCAGCACCAGCACCACCACCACCACCACCACAACCACCACCAGCACCACCACCACCACCACCACCAGCAGCAGCACCACCACCACCACCACCACCACCACCACCACCACCACCACAACCACGCACACACGCACGCACGCACGCACGCACGCGCACCACCACGAGGAGGAGGAGGAGGAGGAGGAGGAGGAGGAGGAGGAGGAGTCCGTGGCCGTTTGGGATCAAGCCGCTATTCTCCCCGCCCAGCCTCGTCAGAAGGGGCGAGGAGGTCCCAGGAAGGCGGGGACGGCCAGGCGCAGCGTCCGGCTGCCATGGCGACCGAGGAGCCCGCGAGCAAGAATCTGCACACGAGGTGACATAGGCGCCCGTGCCGCGGCGGGACGACTCGCTCATGCTGCCCGGCGCGGCCAACGGGTACGCATCGCCGATCTGCCGCGCAAGTTTGGCCCAACACCGGGAAGGCCACTGTCGAGGAGGAGCTGCAGAACAAGCAGCGGGATTGGGCCGCGGACAAAGGCCTGCAAGCACGTCGTCGTCGAGATCCCTGCCGCTGCCATGCCTTGCGCATGCGGGGCCACCGTCGTTGGCGACCATGGGGCCGTCGCCGACTCCAGCGGCATGAGCGACAACAGCTAATTACGAGGCGGCGCCAACTTCTACCTGGCAGCTGGAGGCTCCTCGATTCGTGCTTCCCCGCTGCTCATCCGTGCCACCCAGCAGTCGAAGGGCAACGCCTTCGCCTACGACGTCTTCTACCAAGAGTACGAGGATCGGGGGCGCGCAAACATGGACTAGCGATCCATGGATTTGGCGCGCGGTCGCCAAATCCATGGATCGGGGGAGGTACCCTCCCCAAAATGCGGCCGGCGCCGCCTCGATCGGCGGCTGAAACCCGCTGAAACAGGGGGATTTAGGACGACAAATAAAAAATAGGCAACAAAGTGCCCCCAGATGATCAAAAAATAATGCAAAAATCGTTCCAAGAGCATTTTCTGACTATTTTTGAAGATTCCCCCTGTAGAGGGACAGGCCCAACCTAACCCTGGCACCGGGCCCCGCGGCCGCTCGGCCGCCTTTTCGGCCCGCTGGTCCTCGGTGGCTTCCCCTCAGGCGACCGCAAGCATGGAGCAAGGGGGGCGTGGATTAGCGACGGGTCCCGCTTCCGTGGGGCATCGCGGGCTTCAGCCGCCGAACGAGGCGGCGCCGGCCGCATCTCGGGGAGGGCACCTCCCCCGATCCATGGATTTGGCGAACGCGCGCCAAATCCATGGATCGCTAGTCCATGTTTGCGCGCCCCCGATCCTCGTACTCTTGGTAGAAGACGTCGTAGGCGAAGGCGTTGCCCTTCGACTGCTGGGTGGCAGGGATGAGCAGCAGAGAAACACTAATCGAGGAGCCTCCAGCTGCCAGGTAGAAATTGGCGCCGCCTCGTAATTAGCTGTTGTCGCTCATGCCGCTGGAGTCGGCGACGGCCCCATGGTCGCCAACGACGGTGACGACGGCCGCATCTCGGGGAGGGCTCCTCCCCCGATCAATGGATTTGGCGACTCAGTGCCAGGGGCGCCCGACGACCCGGCCCCGTCGCGCCCCTGCGTCGAGGCGCCGAGGGGCGTGCCGAGAGGCCGCCGCTGGCCGCCGCGCGCGGGGGCCGCGGGCATGCCACCGCAGTGGGCAACGCGCACGGGGCCCCGCACAGTTCGGCCATCCAAACCGCCCTCAATCCTTCTAGATACTCCAGGTTTCGTAATAAAAGGCAGGGGGTCTGGACCTTCCAAGACAAGCCACTTCAGACCTCCCCCGTGGGAGAACCCTCCAAGACATCGTCCCCAGACCCCCCAGGCCCTCCAAGATGGCCTGGAAGAGACCCCCCCCGAAATGAGACCCCCCTCCCTTTATTACGAAATCTGAAGTACCTTTTCCTGGCGACAAGTCAAGCCTGTATTGTTTGCGACTTCGCTGCGGACTGGAACTACCAGCCCAACTCCAATGCCGATTGATCTCTTTCAAATGCTATGGGATTTGATTCTGAAATCTTCGGTTGGGTCGGCCATCCAAACCGTCCTCCCAGACCCCCTCGGGCAAGGAACAAATCCTGACGGGAGGCTTTTTGCTATTCTCGGCCTCTGGGGGTCCTGACCGGCCCTCGGGGCCGTCAGAAAAGGACTCAAGACGAGCAACCGGTCCAGGGCAATGGGTCGAGACCTCCAGGGGTCGACGTAATGAGAAAATCATGACGTCGAGGGTCTGGGTTCAGTCTGTTCGGCGTCATCACCCCCGTGGAGGTGCTGAGCGAGCACGCCGCAGTGCGCTACTTCACCCCGACGGCAGCGCGCGAGGCTGCCGACCACCTCAACAGCAAGACGCTATCGGGCCCAGTCTACCGCGTCTTCCGGGGCGGCCCCACGGACCAAGCAACCACCTGAGACCGCCCTCTCGTTAATTACCAACCTCCCACTCGCTTCAGGCCTGCCCACTCCGTATTCCGCTCTCCTCCACTTTTCTCGCTAACCTCCTCCTCCTCCTCCTCCTCCTCCTCCTCCTCCTCCTCCTCCTCCTCCTCCTCCTCCTCCACCTCCTCCTCCTCCGCCTCCTCCTCTCCTCCTCCTCCTCCTCCTCCTCCCTCCTCCTCCTCCCTCCTCCTCCTCCTCCTCCTCCTCCTCCTGCTCCTCCTCCGCCTCCGCTCCGCTCCGCCTCCGCCTCCCCTCCTCCTCCTCCTCCTCCTCCTCCTTCCTCCTCCTCCTCCTCCTCCGCCTCCTCCTCCTCCTCCTCCTCCCTCCTCCTCCTCCTCCTCCTCCTCCTCCTCCTCCTCCTCCTCCTCCTCCTCCTCCTCCTCCTCCTCCTCTCCTCCTCCCCCTCCCTCCCCCTCCCCCTCCTACTCCTCCTCCTCCTCCTCCTCCTCCTCCTCCTCCCCTCCTCCTCCTCCTCCTTGGGGCGGGGGGCGGGGGGGGGGGGGGCGGGTGGACTTGCAACCGCTGGCAGCCGCCAGGGGCGGCCCACGTCTCCCCTCCCACGGCGGGCCAACCCCCAGAGCCCCCCCCGCCCCCCCACAGGTCACCCCTCGCCCGCCTCGGCGGGCGAGTGTCTCCAGGGTTTTGGACGCCCGAAATGGGTACGCAAAGAATGGGCACAATGCCCAACAGCAAATGATGTCCCAAACCAACAGCGGCCGCTGTTGGGCGGGCGACCTCCTGTCTCAAATGGACACAGGCCGCGGCGGCGCGGACAGCGAGTCCTGTTCAGAATGAACAAGAACTGCTGTTGGGCATCGTACCCACTCTTTCCGTGCCCATTTCGGGCGTCCAGAAGGGTGGGGCTGGGGGCCCCTTCCCGCGAAGCCCGATGGGTGGACTGGAGAGGTCCTCGGTCCACCCCGAGTGCGGCAGGGCGGCCGCGGCCGCGCCTGCCTGGCCACTGCCGCCGCTGCGGCCACTTCTCTGTTCCACCGCACCAGCCGCCACAGGGTGGACGGCATGCCTGCGTCGCCGCGCCCAGGAGCCCGAGTACCGAGGCCCGCAGAGGCCCCGCAATCGCAATTTATGCGATCTTCTGGGGCAGGTGGCGATGCCCATCGGGCCTCCATGAGGCCGACGCCTGCGGTGCTGCTTGCACCGGGTAGGTCTCCGAGAAACCCAACCCCGCCCTGAATTCGGGCCCTCGCGCCCCGCAGGCGACGAGGCGAAAATGAACGACCGCGGAAGAGGAGGCGACAGATCGAGAAGAACAGGCTCGCACAGGAAGGAGGGCAACCAGCACTCAGCTGAGGGGGGGAGGGCCGAACGATTTGCCACATTGTGCACAGCAAGGGTGTAGGTGGCGGAAGAGAAGAGAACGGCGGGCAGCGCGCAGGCGCCGCCCTAATACAAAAAAACAGCAAACCTTAGAGGTAGGAGCTGGCGTCGCCGTCGGTGGCGTATAACACTTCGGTATTCAGCGACATGAAGAAATACTGTTGGTGGCTCCAGCTCGAAACGCGGTCGAAGTTGCACCGTGGAAAATAAAAAAAGACCCGCGGGACATGAAATGCTGGGGGTATGTGTCTGGCAACCTGGGGGGGGTATTCATCTGTGGTGTCCCGTCCCTAAGCGGACGGAACTGCTGATAAATAGGGTGGCTCTTTGAATGTATCAATGTGCTCCAACAGTCTCATCACATGGGATTTTCATCGCACGCGCATCAAAACCAAACGAGACTTCGTTGAACTCTGAAACTTACTCCGTGTGGAACTGGTATTCCACTTAGCCACTTATATGGTAGCATCGTGCGTTCACGAGGCGGCATTGTCTGACCACTCGCGTGACAACTTTGTGAATATGAACTTATAGTCCATATCCCAATGCAGCGAAATTGGGCTGGCAAGCCAAAGGTCCCTCGCATAGGACCTCGAGCCATCTGACATCAAGTCATATTCAAACCAAGGACCCACCCGAATCAAATGTCAATCCGTTCGGCCCCAAGACATGTCAAAATGAGTATTCCCCTGTGGTGACTGAGCCCGTTCTTTCCGTCGGGCCCCATCCGTGGCTGTTCCCACTCTGGCAGCACTTCTTGAGCTCGACATGTATTCCCTTGCTCTTGCTGGCCTTGGTCGTTTTGGTCTTGTCGATAAATTTCTGGGCCAGCATCTCCACATGGCCCTGTGGGGCCGTTCCGAGCTTGGGCCTCCCTCCGGCCGAAAACGTACTATCGGTCACAGACCGCTCGATCCGCAGCGTGCTGTAGGCGACCTCCTTCTGATCGTCGACCGCTGGAATCATCGGGCCGTTCGGGATGGAGAAGCGCATCCTCGCGTCACCCTCGTTGTGGCACTGCTGGCGGATGAAATGACAGACCATCACGCCCAAATCCACTTGGTCCCCTCCTGGCGCGAATTTCTTGTAGAATGTGGTCGCTGGCGAGTGAGAGTCAGGCACCACCGCCCCCGCCACTTCCGAGTCCGCTTGGAACTTGCCCCCTGCGCGCGCGATATGAAATAAAACGGGCCCGATGTCCTTCTTCGCCATCCGGATGGCCGCCGCCTCCGCGTAGAGTTTGTCTGCGCTTTTGTTTTTTTTTGAGCGTCTCGCAGTCCGTCGGCATTGCGCTGTTCGCCCACTCTGCCGCTGCCAAGTCTCGACGTTGTCGGGTGCGCTGGCAAGCCATCTCGAGCTGGATCGATGTCGTTTTCTTCAGGCCTCTGGGGCGGAGCATTCCGTTTACTTGTGCGAATGCAAACTTCGCCCGCCCGTCGCATTTGCGGTCGAGTTCCCCCTTCCGCTGCGCCCGCAGCCGCCCCCTTCGCCCGATGGCCGGTAGCGCTTCGGCATCATGCTCAGGTCCGCGCTGCTGCTTGCCGCGCCGGTTGATGCCGCTGACATTCCGCGCCAATCGTGGCTCTAGAATATGTGGGTCTGGCACTGAGCAATGGGATATGATGTGGACTTGTTTCAACAAGTCTATAGCCTCAACCAAACAAATCAAGGAACAGCTCCCTGGATTCGAAAACGTCGCGCGCCAGATTTGTACTTCCCTCTGGAACATGCATTACGGGGGTGCGTCGCGCACCTCAGGGCTTCAGGAACGCCGGGGGGCCGGAACGACGGATAAGTAAGCGTGCTTCGAACTGCCTCGTTCCTCGCCGCGTCCTGTAAGTTCGGCGCGCGTGAACGATTCGCGCCTGCATCGTCGAACATGGATATCCGCGTCGTCGGTCATCGTTTAGGAGTTTTCAATGCAATATTGTTGGCCCTTCGCCTTGCCCCGCCTCCGTCGTCGGACCCGACCTGTCGCCCCCTCCCCCCGCTGTCGGCGGCGCGGATCGCAAAATAACGTGCTCCAGTTGCCCCGACAGTAGGACCCAACATGCGAAAATATTCAGCTTGCCTGTAGCCCTTTCCTCCTCGCCCTGGCGGGCGCCCTCCTCTCGCCCTCTGATGCGCCTTCTCCTCTTCCTCCTTGTGTGTATCCTCCTCCTCCTCCTCCTCCTCCTCCTCCTCCTCATCTTCCTCCTCCTCCTCCTCCTCCTCCTCTTCCTCCTCCTCCTCCTCCTCCCTCTCCTCTTCTTCCTCATCATCGCCGCCGTTCCCCTACCCATTGCCCCTCCTCCTCCTCCTCCTGCCCGATCTCCCCTTACCCATGGTCGGGGCAAGCAAATCGATGTTCCTCGGCCCTCGCCGCCTCGGCCAGTGCGCGCGTTCGCCGACGGCTAAATCCCGGAGCTGTTGGGGCAGTCCCGCGGACCATGCCTTTGGGGCAACCCCGCGGGCCGCCAGGGCGCGGGGGCGGGCCGTCGGGGCATGCCCGCGGGCCAGCCGCTGGGACAACCCCGCGGGCCTCGAGGTAGGCGCGGCCGCGGCCAAGCGGGGGGCCGCGCGAAACCCAGCCGTGCTGCGAGCAGCTCCGCCTCGGTTCTGGGGCTCTCCGCTGTCTCGTCGAATTTCCAGGGCGCCTTCCGCGGGGCGACGGCGGCCCGCGCTCCAGAAACCCTCGCGTGGGCGGCCGCAGGATCAGCATGTTCCGCATGCGCGTGGCGCGGGAGAGCATGGCGCAGAGGTGCAGGCACAATTGCAGCCGATGGTGACGCCGTTGCCGCGCTGGGGGGGGGGGGGGGGCTGGGTTCAGCCGAACGACTGGCCCTCATGCGAATGCAAAAGTGACCCCGCTCGGATTGGCCCGCGAGGGCTCGCATCACCTTTCGTTCCTGAAGGGCCCAACAATGAGGTTAGCAACGAGACTCCGAAAACTCGCTTGAATTCTAACATGGAGCTGCGGGCCCCGTAGCGAAGGGCCTCCCGCTCGAGACTTCCTCGCCGCCCACTCGCGAACGAGGCCCCCTCCTGCGACTACCTCAAAATTCAAACCTGACTGGGGAACCCAAAACTGGCGACGGGCCTAGGCTTCGCATGGCCCGCTCGGATTACCAATGTGCAGCGCGGGCCCCATGGGGAGGGGGCTCCCGCCTGAGACTTCCTCGCAATTCACTCGCAGATGAGACTCCCGCCTGAACCCCCCTCAAATTCAAGCGTGAACGGTCCAAGAATGGTGGCAACTACAAGGATTGGATGACCCGCTCCGATTGCCACCGTGAAGCGCGGGCTCCACAAGGGAAGGTTCCCCGCCGGATGCTTTCCTCGCAAATCACTCACAGGCCTTGCCCCCGCCAAAGGCTTCTTCAACATTCAAGCGGGAAGGGCCCCAAATTGACTCCAGCTACAAGGTTTGGATTGACCGCGCCGATTGCCAATGTGAAATGCGCGCCCCATAGGGGGGGGGGCCAGCCTGAGACTTCCTCTCAAATCACTCGCGAACGAAGCTCCCGCCCTGTTAAATTCTTCGCTAAGGTCAGGCGCAAAGGGGCCCAAAACAGAAAACCGTTACAAGATTTCGATGGCCCGCTCCGATTGCCAACGTGAAATGCGGGCCTCATAGGGAGTGGGCTCCCGCGTGAGACTTTCTCGCAATCCACTCGCAAACGAAGCCCCCGCCTGAGGCTTCTTCAACATTTCAAGCGCGAGGGGCCCAAAAATGATGACGGATGCAGGGTTTGGATGGTCCGCGCTGGTTACCAACGTGAAGTGCGGGCTCCATGGGGAGGGGGCTCCCGCCTGGAACTTCCCCGCAATTCACTCGCTCGCAAACGAGTTCCCTCTCGGTCGATAAACATGAAGGGAGGGCGCCATTGACGGCGATAGTGGCGTGCGCTGCTGGTGGCAGATGATGGTCATGATGGGATCATGACATGATGGCGACTGAGCGATGAGTGCATGTGAGTAAATAAGATAGCGAGTGGATGACGATGAGGGTTGATGATGATGGTGAATCGGATGATGACTTATGGTGGCGATGATGATGATGATGACAATGATGACAGGAGGAGTGGGTGCGAAGAGGACAGGGGGGCGCGGTGGCTGCGCGGGGGGTCTTAAGAAAACATGAGCGCCACGCAAGATGCGGGGGCCAATCGCGGCATCGATGTCGGTACACTCGTCACTTGCTGTAACCGCTGCCATAAAAACATAGAAACGCGTGGACATCCGAGGGCGCCGCGTCTCTAAACTGCTCCGCACCCTCGCAAACAAACCCAAGGCCCCGCGGCGCGCGTTCGCCCGAGGAGATGTCTCAGCACGTTGCCACCAACCCGTTGCCAACGAGCCCCCGCCCCCCAGGTTCCCCAAGATGCCAGCGCTGGCCCGCCGGCGGCGCAAAGGGCTCAATTCTGGTGCCATTTGACCGCCCTGGCCCTGAGCTCCTGCAACGTCGGTAATATCCTCCAGGAGCTGTTGCGCCGACCATCTCCGAGATCCCACCTCTCCGTGACCCCGCTCCTCGCACTCCTGATCTCCTCCTCGCGGCTCGCAGCTCCATCGCGTCGCGCTGCTCGACGAAAGGGGCATCTGGCGCACGACCTCCCATGCCCGACAGAAGGGCCGACTGCGCAAACGCCGCGCCACTCATCCTCTCAATGATATTCGCCGCCCCGTGCACCGGGAAATTCGACGCCCGCTCAGGCCCTGCTCGGCCCGCCCGGGGCCTTCTGTTTTTGCCCCTCTGCAGGTGCCCCGAACGCGTCAGCCAGCCTCCCCGGATACTCAGGAGACGCCCTCTCTGTCCAGGACGCTACAGAGTGCCTCCTTATGATGATCTCGACTGTCTCGCGCCCGCCCCCCCGACGAGTTGCGCTATAGTAGCCCGCTCGCCCTCGCGGAGGGCCGCCCCGATCTCCTCCCGGTGGGTGGCTGGGTGCCCACTGCTAATAATGGCCTGGACTGGCAGCTGGGCCGCCTCGCATGCCTCTGATCGGGCGCTGGGGGCCCGCCCTGGCACGGCGCGCTGCGCGACGTCGCCCGCGCGCGTCGCGGCAGGGCGCCGCGCCGGAGCCTCGGAGTGATGACCTGCGGGGCCCCGAAGGTCGCCGGGGTCGCCGAGCGCGTCCTACTTGACGTTTCTTTCTATGCCGGCCAACGCGCTGGGGGCGTTTTCGCTCGCGACGGCGCGCGACCGCCCCTGGCATTGCAGGCGACAAGACAAGCAAAACTCGCGCCGCAATGGGCCGCCCCTCCTCCGACGCCGCGAGGAGCCGCGACAGAAACGATAAGGAGGGGAGGAGGAAATGGGAGAGGACGAGAAGGATCAAAAGGAGTATCGGCCTTTAGCTGAAGCGATTTTCATACACTTCTTATTCCTGCTGTGGTGCGCGCAACGTTGGCGGACGCAGCAGTCCTCTTAGATTGCGAGAGCACTCGGTCGCATGGTCCTGATCGACGGGTCGCGAAATCAGAACGCACCACGGTCGCCATCAACGATCGCGGGATCATCGGGCACCACTAGGCGCAGGGCAGGACCAGGGTACCACCAACCCTCTTCGTAACCAATCCCAGGAACATGCCCCAGAAGCTGGTCGCACTTACCTGGATGTGTGAATGACTCCAGCTCTAACATGGTCGCCAACCCATTGTCCGCTGCGCCGAAGCCGAGGACGTCTGCCTGGGAAACTTGGCAAGAATACACCCCCTCCTCTTCCAAACTCCCCCGCTGTCACCCAGACTACTCGGATGGGACAGACTGCGTCAGCTTGAAGGGCCCCCCGCGGCTGATCCCAGGTCACGAAACCAGCCCCGAAATTCCCAAACCGAGAAACGCCTCGCCATCTCGATCTTTCCGACTAGACCCCCGTCCGCCTGACAACCCCGCCAAACTCCCCATCGTTTCGTTTCTTCTGGCTAACGGATCGGACGCTACATCTCTCCCCCCCCACCTGCCAACCCCCTCAGACTCCCCCCTTCTATTTCTTCCAGCTAACGGATCGGACGCTATGCGCGCTCTCCATGATCAGCCGTAACTTAACAGAAGGGTGCCTGGCGTGCTGGATGTTTGAGCGCATAGTGCAGATTGAACGCTCCCACCAGCCTCTGGTCCAACCCGCTGGCCACCCGGAGAGCAGTCCATCGGCTCTCCCGCTACAGACGGCCCCAAGATGGCCCCCCAAACGGCCAAGGTATCTTCCAGTACGGCGAAGATGACCCCAGGAGAGCCCAAGATAGCCCAAACATGTCCCCAAGACGGCCTCAAGGCAACCTAAGATGCCCTTAAGACGGCCGACGAGGCCCCCAAGACGTCCCATGATGGCTCTGAGAGGACCCCCAGGAGGCCAACAGCGTTGGTTTCCCATGGGGTTCTCACTGATTTCGGCGTTCGCTCCATTTCGGTCTTCCTGCGCTCCAAGGCACCCCGAGAAGCTCCCCGAATCACTACAAGACGGCTCGGGAGGCCCCCGACAGGCCACGCAAGACGGCCCAAGAGGGCCCCAAGACGGACAAAGAGATCCCCAAGACGGCCCTTGGCCCTCCACGATGGCCTCAGGGCGCCCAAACAGGGACCTAGGATCTCCTCCAAAGGCCAAGAAATCCCTCTTCCTCCTCCTCCTCCTCCTCCTCCTCCTCCTCCTCCTCCTCCCTTGGAGACTCCAGGCCCTCCTGAGGCCGCCAAGAAGCCCCAGAAGGGGCCCCGAAGAAGCCCTAAGGGGCCCACCGGGGCCCCCCAACGTAGAGGCACCCAAGAGACCCCTCAGGAGACAACCAAGAGGCCCCAGAAGGGCTTGAGGAGGCCTCCATTTCTACATCGCATCCTCCTCCTCCTCCTCTCTCCTCTCTCCTCTCTCCTCTCCTCCTCCTCCTCCTCCTCCTCCTCCTCCTACTTCTCATCTTCCTCCTCCTTCTCCCCGCTTCTGCTGCTCATATTTGTACCTTTTCTCAAGGTGTTCCCCCAAGGGGTTCCACAAAGGCTGGGGGAGCACATGGCCCAATTGCTTGGCCAGCCTTCGGCCCAACGTTTGGCCGCATGGGCGTTTGCAAACGGCAGGGGGCGGCGGTTATTCGTCGTAGGCGTCTTCGACATTCGATATCACTGTCGTTCCGCGGTATCCGTGTCTGTCTGGCGGTATGCCTATGAATAGATATACAGATCCACCTATATATCGGGACAATCAGCGGAAAACAACAAGGAAAATCAACAAGACAGCCATCGGGACAACCAGCACATGTATGTGTATATATATATATATATATACATATTCATCCATCTGTCCTTCGATCCCGTTATCCATAGATCAGCCGATCTCACGATCTAAGCACCTATCGGTCACACTATATATCGGGACAAGCCCCAGAACAACCAACAGGATGACCATCAGGATCCGAACTCTATCTGTATATATATGTGTGTATGCGTATATGCATATACATCTCTCTATACATATATATATATACATACACATGTTCCTCTTCCTATACGTTTGCAAACCCAGGGGAAGGGATCCATCCCCCCCAAAAAAACCGGACCCCCAAGATCCGGGGTTTCTGGGCCCCCCGGACACCCTTGCCAAAGGTCCCCAGCTCGTCCCGGAACCCCCAGGGCGCTTGGCCAGGTCTTGCCAGCAGACCCAGGCGATTAGAGCGGTGATCAGAGAGGCCGAAGAAAGACCCAGGATAGCACAAGAGCGCTCCGAGAGGGACCCGCATGGCCTCCAGAGGCCCCAAGACGGCCAAAGAGTCCCTGAACAGGGCTCCCAGAAAGCAAAATCGCTTCATTCCCTTAGTGAACCATGCATTTTCAGCATATTCGCTGTTCGGGTCGTAGCAGCGTCCAAAACAGCCACAAGTGTCGCCCCAAGACGGCCTAAGAGACCCCCAAGCGAGCCTCTAGACGACCTGGATGGCCCCAATACTGTCAAAGGGTCAAAGGAAACCCCACACGGGCCAAAAAGAAACCCAGCAGGCCCTCACAAGGCCCCCAAGAGAAGCCCAAGAAGGCCATGGGAGGCCACCAGGAAGGCGGGAAAAAGTCGCTCTTTGGGACAATGGTTACTTCTCCGGGAAGAGGGTCACTTCTCTGGGTGAGAATG